CAGTGGCTGGACTCCAGTTTCTGTAAGCAGATCGTCCTCCATCTCTCCAGTCCACATTGTCATTCAGCAGGCCGATCCAGAAATTAGTATTACTCTGTGTTCCATTGTTCATCACCAGGTTATTTTCCTCCTCATTTCTGATAGAGACTAAATCAGTGTGATTCTCTCTGCAGTAAAGCTGAGCATCAAACCAGCTCTTTGGTTGAAGGATTAATGAGTAGATGTATGATGATCCTCCAGCTTCTGTGTGGATGTAGAAGAGTTTTATTTTAATTAACTTAAAATATTGATAAGCTGATATTTATTACCTTGTTCATAGCACATGAAGTGTTTTGTCTCATTGCATAGGACAGATTCCCAATCTCCATTAGCATTCATAGCAGCACAGCGAGTTTGATCAGAATAGCTTGGAGAATATCTGCTGTATGTAACATCATCACCATTTGACCATTTCAGACTGTAGTTTCCTCTATAAACACCAATCCAGCCAGTTGGAGAGCTGCTGTTCTTCATCAGTTGCAGTAGTTTATTATTGTCTTGTTGGTCATAAACTGTGACGAGGTCAGTGTAGTTTACTCTGCATAAACTCTGAGCAGCAGATCCATTGTTACTCCTCTGCTTCAGCATGTAGAACTGTCTCAGTCGGCCTTCAGCAGCTGAAGGAGGAAAAGCTGAAAAGAAAAATACACATTTCAGAAACACAACATCAACATCTTTACTAAAATGACTCTTTGACTTGAAACAGTGTAATGACTTTTAATGACACTTTTGATCATCAGATTGTATCATATGAATGTCATTTGTAGTTATTAGGAACTGGAACTGATAATGTTTACTCAATTCCTTTTAGACACTCAATGTGCAGATATTTAGTTTGTTTAATCAATAAAATATTAATGTATTTGATGTAAAACAATATTATAATAGGATTTGTCAAAAAATCTGATTCTGCATTTTAAATCTCTCACCAATAAAAACATGAAGTGTTATGATTTATTGTAGTAATGACTGTTCCGGCTATAATTATTTTGTTGTTCATGCCATTGCACAGCTTTTACACTTTGAATAAAATGCTTATATGATTTTTGTCTTTAGAATAATACAAGACTCATACATTTCATAGTTTCTCTATTTTTCTGTTACAGTGCAAAAACACAACAAAGATTTCCATTTGTTTACTGAATTGATCAAAATAATGCTAAACATTTCATTGCTCTGTGTCTCTGCAAATATGATCAAAGTGTCAAACTCACCACAGATGAGGAGAAACACATGCAGAAACATCATCAACATCAGTTTCAGCAACCACTGAAAAAGACAAGGCAAATAACACATATTCTTCTGTTTTCAATCATAAATTAAAAATGTGCAAACCTGTTTGAGTTGGGTATAAAACTATTACCTGGTGAGCAGCTGATCTCTTCTGATCGTCTTGGGTCTGAACTGTAGGTGAGAGTAGACGACTGCAGTAAGAGGAGACTCAAACACACATTTGAATTCAGACACTTCCTCAATCTCTCTATGGAAAATTCACATGAACATGCTCATAATAACCAAAGGTGAACAATGCTGATGCAAATAATTGAGTGGGTGAGGTTCAGTCAGTCAGAGTCCTCATGTTTAAAATATGATAATTTTATTAAAACAAAAACTATAAATCAATAATTGCAGTAATAGATGTGCTGTGATCATTTGCAGATCAGTCAAAGAATGTTTAAGTCATCTATAACCCAAAATAATCAAAACACAGTGTTGGTATATTATAATCTATGTAGTAATAATGAATATAAAGCTGAGATCATAAATCTTCTTACCTGGTGAACAGGTTGTTTGATTGTGAACTGCACTGAAGGAAATATTGTATTTAAATCATGTCTGAATTATGGGATGGTCAGTTTGCAAAACAGATGAACTGGAAAGGCGCTGTGGAGCTACTGTTAGATATAAAGTGACATGAAGAATAAAGCACTGTACATATAATAATCAGATTAATAATTCACAGACATTAACGACAGATTCCAGTGGATTCCAGAACAATGTTTATTGAGTTGCGTTTGACTACTTGACACAAAAGTGATATTGACTGAAAGCATCAAACTACACACACGACTTATAGAAATCACAACCAATAATACAAGAGATCAGAGATGAACAAAACTACAGCAAAGATAACTAGTTATACATGATATATTAGTTCCCCTGACAGTGATCCTGCCAAAGAAATGTTTGTAGATCAATATATTTCAATCTGCATTTATGTCCAAAAACCTACTAAACGTCTAATCATAAAAACACAATATCAAGAATAGCTAAATATTAAGTGTAGAAACCACTAACCCTTATAATCATATATTTATGTTTAAGCTGAAATCTGATTGGTTGGTCCAGGATCTACTCTGTGTATTTGTGTTCACTAGTTTTTCTCACACACAACTCTGAATGTAGACCTGCAGTCTTTATCAGTCAGTGTGTATCGTCCGTTCACCTTCTCCATGGCAGCGCAGTGTTGAGAAAGCGCAGCTTCAGGAGCCTTTCCTCCTCTCCAGTTTGTCCAGTTTCCCACTTGAAGACCATTGATCCACATCCAGAATCCGAAAGGACAGCTCTGTCTGAGACCCACCCAAACTGGAGCAGAGATATTATTTCTGTTTAACTCTCGCTGCGTTTCTGTCTGATCGTTCTCAGACTCCAGACACAGAGCTCCAGAAAACTGAGAGCTGCAGTAATTCATAGCATCTTCCCAGGACATTTCAGCAAGACTCACATGAATGAAGCTCTCTGACAACAACAGACATCCAAAACTAGTCAAATACAGCAGATTATAATGACATGTGAAGAGAAAATGGAAATTAATTGAGTTTTACAGCTGTTGTGTGTGTCTTCTTACTGTAGCACAGAGGATAGAAGTTCCCAGCGCTAGCTTTGAACCATCGCCCATCAGCAGACTGTATGGCAACATAACTCATGCTGTGATTAGTCTTCTCACGCCAGTTTCTGTAAGCAGATCGTCCTCCATCTCTCCAGTCCACACTGTCATTCAGCAGGCCGATCCAGAAAGAAGTATTACTCTGATTTCCATTGTTCATCACCAGGGTATTTTCCTCCTCATTTCTGATAGAGACTAAATCAGTGTGATTCTCTCTGCAGTAAAGCTGAGCATCAAACCAGCTGTTTGGTTGAAGGATTAATGAGTGTATGTATGATGATCCTCCAGCTTCTGTGTGGATGAATTAAGAGTTTTTGTTTCATTTAATTACATTTAATATTTATAAACTGGTATTTATTACCTTGTTCATAGCACATGAAGTGTTTTGTCTCATTGCATAAGACAGATTCCCAATCTCCAGTAGCATTCATAGCAGCACAGTGTGTTTGATCAGAATAATTTGGAGAATATCTGCTGTATGAAACATCATCACCATTTGACCATTTCAGACTGTAGTTTCCTCTAGAAGCACCAATCCAGCCAACTGAAGAGCTGCTGTTCTTGATCAGTTGCAGTAGTTTAATATTGTCTTGTTGGTCATAAACTGTGACGAGGTCAGTGTAGTTTACTCTGCATAAACTCTGAGCAGCAGATGTATTGATAGTCTTCTGGTTCAGCATGTAGAATTGTCTCAGTCGACCTTCAGCAGCTGAAGGAGGAAAAGCTGAAGAGAAAAATCCACATTTCAGAAACACAACATCAACATCTTCTCTGAAATGACACTTTGACTTGAAACAGTGAAATGACTTATAATGACACTTTTGATCATCAGATTGTATCATATGAATGTCTTTTATAGTTATTAGGAACTGGAAATGACAATGTTCACTCAATTCCTTTTCAACACTCAATGTACAGATATTTAGTTTGTTTTAATCAATAAATATTTCATGTCTTTGATGTAAAACAATATTAAGATAGGATTTGCAAAAAAAAAAAAAAAAGATTCTGCATTTTACATCTCTCACCTACAGTAAAAACATGAAGTGTTATGATTTACTGTAGTAATGACTGTTCCGGCTGTAACTGATTTTGTTATTTATGCCATTGCACAATTTTTACACTTTGACTAAAATACTTCTATGATTTTTGTCTTAAAATTATGACTGATACATTTCATAGTTTCTCTATTTTTCTGTTACAGTACAAAAACACAACAAAGATTTCCCTTTATTTACTGAATTGATCAAACTAATGCTAAACATTTCATTGCTCTGTGTCTCTGCAAATATGATCAAAGTGTCAAACTCACCACAGATGAGGAGAAACACATACAGAAACATCATCAACATCAGTTTCAGCAACCACTGAATAAAAGACAAAGGCAAATCATACACATTCTTCTGTTTTCAATAATAAATTAATAAATGCTAAACCTGTTTAAGTTTCTGTTGAACACAAAAGAAGATATTTTTATAAATGTTGAACACTGATTGCCATTGACTCAGTATTTTTCACACTATGGAAGTCAAAGGCTGCAGGTTTTCCGCGTTCTTTAAATATTTTTTGGTCACATTTTACAATAATGTTTCATTCATTAAAGTATTTGCTAGCATAAACCAATGACGAACAATATTTGTAGAGCATTTGGTAATGATAGTTCAACATTTACTAATGCATTATTAACATCCAAATGCATACTTGTTAACATTAGATAATGCTAACATCGAACAACCATTTTCATTTACTGATGTTACTTAACATGAACAAATTCTGTAATAATTGTTTTGTTTATTGTTTAATTATGTTAGTAAATGCATTAACTAACAATAACTAACACAGCTATTGTAAAGTGTGACCATTTTATCTATGTTTAAAAGAAACTCAAACAAGTTTGCACCCACTTGAGGGTGAGTACATTTACATTTATATTTTATGGTGAACTAGCCCTTGAAGCAAAAACAGTTTAATAATCAAATCTAAAATATAGTAAAGGGGTTTGCATTTTCAGACAGAATTGCTTCAGTAAATATTCAAGTGTTCTAGTTATTTACTTATTTAAAATCCTATCTTAGACTGATCTTATCAGCTTGATTGTAGTAAAGGGTATAAAAGTCTTACCTGGTGAGCAGCTGATCTCTTCTGATCGTCTCCTGGTCTGAACTGTAGGTGAGAGTAGACGACTGCAGTAAGAGGAGACTCAAACACACATTTGAATTCAGACACTTCCTCAATCTCTCTATGGAAAATTCACATGAACATGCTCATAATAACTAAAGTAAACAGTGCTGATGCAAATAATTAATCGAATGAGATCCAGTCAGTCAGAGTCTTCAAGTTTAAATGTGATAATTTTATTAAAACAAAAACTATAAATCAATAATTGCAGTAATAGATGTGCTGTGATCATTTGCAGATCAGTCTAAGCATGTTTAAGTCATCTATAACCCAAAGTAATCAAAACACAGTGTTGGTATAATATAATATAAATAGTAATAATGAATATAAAGCTGAGATCTTAAAGCTTCTTACCTGGTGAGCAGGTTGTTTGATTGTGAACTGCACTGAAGGAAATAATGTATTTAAATCATGTCTGAATTATGGAATGGAGTTTGCAAAACAGATGAACTGGAAAGGCGCTGTGGAGCTACTGTTAGATATAAAGTGACATGAAGAATAAAGCACTGTACATATGATAATCAGATTAATAATTCACAGACATTAAAGACAGATTCCAGTGGATTCCAGAACAATGTTTATTGAGTTGTGTTTGACAACCTGAAACAACAGTGATATTGACTGAAAGCATCAAACTACACACACAACTTATAGAAATCACAACCAATATTACAGGAAATAAGAGATTAACAAAACAACAGCAAATATAACTAGTTATACATGTTTGTAGATCAATATATTTTAATTTCCATTTATGTCAAAAAAACATACTAAACCTAATAATAAATGTTCAATATCAAGAATAGCTGAATATTAATAGTGTAGAAACCACTAACCAGTGTAATCATACATCTAAATTTAACCTGAAATCTGATTAGTTAATCCAGGATCTACTCTGTGAATTTGTGTTCACTAGTTTTTCTCACACACAACTCTGAATGTAGACCTGCAGTCTTTATCAGTCAGTGTGTATCGTCCGTTCACCTTCTCCATGGCAGCGCAGTGTTGAGAAAGCGCAGCTTCAGGAGCCTTTCCTCCTTTCCAGTTTGTCCAGTTTCTCACTTGAAGACCATTGATCCACATCCAGAATCCGAAAAGTCGGCTCTGTCTGAGACCCACCCAAACTGGAGCAGAGATATTATTTCTGTTTAACTCTCGCTGCGTTTCTGTCTGATCGTTCTCAGACTCCAGACACAGAGCTCCAGAAAACTGAGAGCTGCAGTAATTCATAGCATCTTCCCAGGACATCTCAGCAGGACTCACATGAATGAAGCTCTCTGACAATAACAAACATCCAAAACTAGTCAAATACAGCAGATTATAATGACATGTATAGATGAAATGGGAATTTCTTGAATTTTAAAGCTGTTGTGTGTGTCGTCTTACTGTAGCACAGAGGATAGTTATTATTGATATCAGCTCTTGTCCACCGCCCATCAGTTAATCTCATGAAAGCATTAGGTCTGCTCTGCTCAAACTCCTGAAACCAGTTTCTGTAAGCGGATGGTCCTCCATCTCTCCAGTTCACATTGTCATTCAGCAGGCCGATCCAGAAAGCAGTATTACTCTGTGTTCCATTGTTCTTCACCAGGGTATTTTCCTCCTCATTTCTAATAGAGACTAAATCAGTGTGATTCTCTCTGCAGTAAAGCTGAGCATCAGACCAGTTTTTGTTTTGAGGGATTAATAAGTAGTTGTAGGTTGTTCCTCCATCTCCATCTGTTTAAATGTTGTAAGATGTTTTAATATGGTTGAATTACATTGTAATACTTATAAGCAGTATTGGCACAAATAAAGGAAAAATCATGTTAGAAATGACATACTTGTTTTGCAATTGTAGGCCTATTGCAATAAAATATAAAATAGTGGAGTGAGAAATTTAACCAAGCTATGAGTTATTTTCAATGATATACTATATAACTATAAATTGTCGTGAAAATACAAGAAAAATTCAAAGCATATATTAAGCTGCTGTCACTTTAAGACGAATGTAATTAAATGTATTGAACCATTTTTCTTTCAGTTGTTTATGCTCAACAGAAATATAACTGAAAGCGTTTATGATAATACATAAAGCTAAAAGGATTAAGGGATTGCAGGCTAGGCTATGTGATGTCCTTGTGTGTGCGTCAGGCATGATAGTGTATTCCCAAATGCAGAATCACAGTGCATTACAGTACAGCAGTTTCAGGACAGCAGCTCCAGACCAGCAGTATGAGTCTGAGTGAAGCTGATCACACAACCCTAACCAACACAGGCTCATTGGAAATATGTGCTTCAGCCAGTTTTGTGAAACCACAAGATGTTTAACTGCGGTTTCTAGGTAAAATGAAAGCTACAGAGCAGTATGGCAGCAAAATGGTTATTCACTTACTCATTTCCTTCAGCTTATTACCTGTTTTATCAGTGTTATACACAGAGGAATGAACCACCAATTTTTCTAACAAATGTTTGACTATTAACTGTTTTATTTAATGCTAATGAGATTTACAGGGATCTATTGTCAAGAAATAAATGATCATTTAATGCAATTCTACTTTGCCTATTTGCTATATTCTTGACAAATATCTATTTTTTGAACTTTTTTTATTTTATTGCTATTGAACTAAATCAACTTTTTTTCAAGATTGCAATGAGCACACTGGATTTAACAAGATGTGCAATGTGATTTATTTACAGTACATCTTGTCAAAACACTAAATTAGGTTGTCTTGTTCTAAGCTTAGTGATCAAGTTCTAGTATTATTTAAAAATAACATGATATATTTGTTAATGAATTTTAAATAGAAAACACTTATGTATACATTTTGTTAAAAATAAAATAACAAAACACTCAGAATTAAAAAACATATTTTAAATACATTAAATGCATCTCCGTTTGTAATTAAATTTTATTACCTTGTTCATAGCACATGAAGTGTTTTGTCTCATTGCACAGGATAGATTCCCAGTCTCCATTAGCATTCAAAGCAGCACAGCGAGTTTGATCTGAATAGCTTGGAGAATATCTACTGTATGTAACATCATCACCATTTGACCATTTTAGACTGTAGTTTCCTCTATAAGCACCAATCCAGCCTTGCTGAAAGCTGCTGCTATTGAGCAGTTGCTGTAATTTAATATTGTCTTGTTGGTCATAAATTGTGACGAGGTCAGTGTAGTTTACTCTGCATAAACTCTGAGCAGCAGATGTATTGTTACTCCTCTGCTTCATTATGTAGAACTGTCTCAGTCGGCCTTCAGCAGCTGAAGGAGGAAAAGCTGAAGAGAAAAACACACATTTAGAAACACAACATCAACATCTTCACTAAAATGACACTTTAGTTTGAAACAATGAAATGACTTTTAATTTAAATACGTTCGATTTTCAGTTTGTAATAGTGTTATTTATTAATGTTTAGAAACTGAAACTGATATTTATCACTGCATTTTCATGGCTGTTCAATAACAAATGTGCAGACCACTTATTCTTGATTTTTCAATAAAACATACTTGTCTTTAATGTAAAATATTATAAATTATGATATCATGTAAATAAAATCTCTTATAATTTATCACTTACAAATCCTCCCCATCTCATTTACAATAAAAACATTATGCATTATTATTTTATTTGTAATAATAATTGTTATTAATTTAATTACTTGTGTTATTAATGTCATTACACAGCTTTTGGCATATTTAAAATGTTATTTTATGTTTTGTGTTTAAAAATTACTGATAAATTTCATAGTTACTGTATTGAATGTTTCCGTAAAGACATTTTGCAATTCATCAGTAATTTTAAAAACAAATAATTGCAGAAAATTATGTTATTACAAAATATTCTATATACTTACCTTAATATTGAGGAAATTTATGTCTTTTATTTCAAACTTTGGAAAATTGCTAAGTTAAACATTTGTCACTTGCATATGAATAACATTTTTCTACATGCAACTATTCAAAACAACACATTAATTACATGTACAATTTTGTAAAAAGGCTGTTGTTTAGTACTGTTCTTTAAAGATACGCCAATCGGTGCAATAATCTTCATAATATAAAACTGTAAAATATAATAATATAATACAATTTTTAAAATATCTATTAATATTAATAGACCCAAAAAAGAAACTAAAATTTATTTAGTTGAAAGTATAAACGCATAAAATTATTTAATTAAGTATATCAGCCAAACAGATCAGACATGTATTTATTAGAACAACAAATAAAACTGATTTTCCAAAGCTCAGCAAATATAACACAAAGTGAAAACTTACCACAGAGGAGAAGAGGCACAAGCAGGAACATCATTAATGTTGCTCTCTGTGTTTTAATCAGAATCTACTGTAGACACACTTTGATATAAAGCACAGAATATATGTGGTTGTTTCAGGGAATAATTCAAACACCAATGCAAGCTGTAAAAATAAATATATATATATATAAATTATTTAATAAAAGGGGGAAAAAATAAGAAACAATGTGAAGTGAAACGAATCTAAGCAACAAATAGTACTTACCTGGGTTTTATGCTCCATTTAGATCAGGGGTGTCCAAACTCAGTCCTGGAGGTTCGGTGTGCTCCTGAGTTTAGCTCCAACTTCCATCAACACACCTGCAAGGAAGTTTTTCCAGTAAGAGCTTGATTACTTGGTTCAGGTGTGTTTGTTTGGGGTAGGAGCTAAACTCTCCAGGAAATCGGCCCTCCAGGACCGAGTTTGGACGCTCCTGATTTAGATGTAATTGTATATACGATATTATATGATCAATTTAAATACATTTGTCATTTATTCATTTGATTGTTTGGTGAATTCAGTCATACAAATATTTGCTATATAAGTCTATACATTCAGCCTTCTCTCATAAAGTGTTTTGATAATTTTGATCAATTCAAATTATTAAATATCCATCATAGCAGACAGCAAAGGTAATAAATACCTCATATTAAATTATATTTTCCCCCTGTGTTGACCTCCGAACTAAGCCAAAAGATAGTGTGTAAATACTATGTTGTCTTAAAATGATTTAGTTTGAGATATCCAAACAGTACAAAAAGCAAAGTACAAAATCAGAGCACCTGAATGTAAATGATGTTTTTCAGACAGAACACATCGACAAGAAACAATGATAGGAAATTAATTCTGATGCTTCATTTATACATATAAAAATTATGTTGGTTTACTATGATCAGTTTGGTAAGAAATACATGTTAGTGAATATAAAGCTGAGATCATAAAGCTTCTTACCTGGTCAGCAGGTTGTTTGATTGTGAACTGCGCTGAAGGAAATCATGTATTCAAATGATCTCTGGGTTTTGGGAAAGTAAGTATGCAAAACAGATAAACCGAAAAGGTTAGAGCTGCTGTTAGTTATGAAGCATAATGCGCTGTAAACATAATAATTAGAATAATAGTTTATAGACATTAAAGAAGTGCAGAAAGAAAGACCTCTTATAATTGATGTCTTTAATTTTGAGTTGATTTATTAAAAAGGAAATGCTTTTGAAAATATGTAAAAGAGAAAATAAAACATGAATAATGAATAATATATAAAAATTGTAATAATTTTACAGTATAAGTATAGGCATGCCATAAAATATTATTTCAATATTTATATTTATTCAGTGAATTTTAAGATAATTATAGCTACGTGTACATAGATGTAACATCACTATAGCAAATTAGTATTACTACAAAAATGTTTAATGTAAAAACTGTACAAGAGCACGCACATCCCTCTTAACACAAAAAGTGCAAATTAAATGTTAATCAAAGGCAGCAACACCAAGGCTCCAAAAATACAAATTTATTAAATTAAAAAGGCTGACACAAAGCGTGTACACACTTATGTTTAATGCTTATGTATGTTTAATGTGAAATTTTGATATGTGCTGACATATTTTAAAATAAGTTTTCATTAGTAGAGTGTAAGATCAGGATGTTTTCTAAAAAATAATTTCATTTTACATAAATGCTGTTTATACATACAGTACATGTATTTTCAGTATACAATAGACAGAGCACACCCACACAGAACATTAAAATACTCAGTCTTCTTTTATTCTGTTTTGGAAGTATTTGCATAGAGATTTACCTTGGTAAAATATAAATAGCTTCCACAACATTCCCTTATCCAAACATTTAGGCCATGCAATGTTTTATTCTGATGTGTCTTAGTCTATGCTGATGTTTTTATACATACAGTACATACATAAATGAATAAGTAAGTAAATAAATAAATAGCAAACGTGTTTGTTTGCCATCAGATTCAAATTATAGAGGATATTTGTGTATGATGGTTTGTAGCTATATAGTAGCCTATACTAACGTGGAAATTATGATCATTTAAAATATATGCACATCCACAATAATTATCATTTAATTTAGAAACCAATTTAGATCCGTCAAATTTGTTATATTTTTAATATCAAGCTAAAGCATTACATCGAGTTTATATAGGAAATAGTGAACAACAGACGTATTTTGGGAATTTTCTTTAACCGTAGGCATGGAGAAATGACGCACACACACCATTAAAATGAATACTCAAAGTGTCCTTTCGTTGTTTTGAAGTATGTTGGGAAGTATTTGCATAGAGATTTTTCCTTAGTCAAATATTAATAACATTCACAACCTCCCTATTCAAACATTTGAGTTCATCAAAGTCTGAACTGATGCACTTTAACAAAAAAAAACTATCAATTTTGATAGAACAAATCATATTTATGATACTAAATTTCATTTTTAATAGTTCCTAGTGATGCTGTGATGTTAGATGTATAATTATCTTGAAATAGATGTATATTTTAAATGATCAAAATGCACTTTGATTAATTTAAGTCTGGTTAATATTAATAGATACTGAACAAATGTAAAAAATAATAAATCAAAGTCATAATTGTTTGAAAAAGTATAAAATTGCATATATACTGTAGACTTAATGTGACAAGTCCTTCATATATATATATTTTTAACATTCCTTTTTTTAAACATTTAAGTCAATATTATATTCTGATGTGTCAAAGTCTAAACTGACGGACTATTAAAAGATAACAACTACTGTAAAACAATATATTTTGACTCAACAAATCATATTTGTCATACAAAGTTTCACATTAACCAGTAGCTAGTGAAGCTAGTTTTAATTATTTGATAAAGTCTGATAAAGTATAAAATTACGTATATACTGTAGAGTAAATGTGACAAGTCCTTAATATATATATTTTTATGATCAATGTTCTAATTAAAAGTAATTGAAGTCTGGTTAATATTAATAGATACTAAACAAATGTTAATAATAATAATAAGCGTCATAAAATGTTATAAAATAATCCAATTTAATAAGTGGGACATTATAAATAGACGTCTTTGATATTTTAGTGCACTTTTCCTTATGCCATTCATTTTCAGTGTAATGTGTTGAAGTGTGTCTGTTTCTGAACTTCAGTAATTGTCAGCTCCCTTTATTAAGAGCTGAATTTTCTTTTGAACTTCATCAAGTTAAAAAGCTTCGTTTGGCCAGGCCAAGGGTTTCTTCCCGGAAGAATAAATCTCAAACTCTTTCTATTTTATGGAACCTAACCAAAGCCATTAATCCATGACTATACATGAGATAATAAGCTGATCAGTTATGCTGAGAAAAGAACACTTGTGCAAGTAAAAGCTAAAATGTTTAAAAGTTTTTCATTGGGATCTGCAGGGATCCTTTATTTGAGTCTACTGTTAATTTACAATGTGTTCAAATATAATTTCATTTGGTGGATATAACAGAAATGCATACTGTATGGCTTCTTCTTCACAATATAAACATCTAAAGTGTTGCTGACGTGAAGTGTAATGATCAGTGCACTTTTTACTGTCACAAAAAAACAAGAAGTGCTGACCACTATAAGCCTAACCTTTAGCCCATCTTCTGAAAGGTTTTGCTTATATTTTTGTTTGGGTTGCAACAGTTTTCAGGCCTCAGAAAGATCAGAAATCACAAACCACTTTCTCTGCATTACCACCTCTGTCTGTTTTTCTCAGTTGATGAAAATATTTTCTTCTGCATTTCAGGAAATCGGTCCAGATGTTTACAATTCATTCTTGGATTGTGTGAAGCCTGAAGGTCTAAAACAAATGAGGACGTTTCAGAGTCATTAAATGTAGTAAGTATAAGTCGAATTAGACCCCGGACAACAAAACCAGTCATAAGTGTCAAAGATCTGACAATTGAATTGAATAAGCTTTCTAGTGATGTTTGGACAGTATTTAGCTGAAATCAAAATACTGAGATTATTTAAATTTGTCCACATTAAGTTCTCAGCAATGCATATTAATAATTACAAAATGTAGTTATTATATATTTACGATAGGAAATGTAATAAATATTTCATAGAACAGGATGTTTACTAACTAAATGATAGCGAGTTTAGTCATAAAATTAAAATAAAATCTGTAATTTTGACCCATACAGTGTACTTTGGTTATTGCCAAAAAATACAGATGTGCAAAATCAGACTGGTTTTGTAGTCCAGGGTCACAAATATGATGAAACCTGGTAAATGAAAATCTGCTATGAACGATGAAATAATAATAACACCTAGAGCAGGGTTGTCCAAATTTGGTCCTGGAGGGCTGGTGTCCTGCAAAGTTTTGTTCCAATCCCACTCACACACACCTGGGCTAGCTAATTAATCTCTTAAACTGCCGTCACACTGGACTTTTCTCCCTATAGACTTCCATTTGTATGCACATGAATGCATCAGACTGGAAACGCAAAGTCAAGCGGCAAATTTTGCAGTTCACATTGTTGCTAAGTTCAAGCTTGGTGAACTCTGATCTGCGAAATCACATCACATGACTGTGTGAGACAAGCCGAGGATCAAAACACGAGCTCTCTGTGCAGAAATTTAAAACATTGAGTAATCACTTGCTTCTTTAAATGTCTAATCATGTTGTTTAATCCTGGCCATTTTCACAGTGCCATACTACAGAATTTTGCAAGCTTATAGTGTGACCTCAGCTTCACTAAGCTTTCTAGAAACATCCTTACAGGTGTGTTAAGGCAACTTGGAGCTAAAATCTGCAGGACACCGGCCCTCTGGGACAAAGTTTGGGCACCCCTGATCTAGAGAGTGAGAGAGTGTGTGATTTCAGCTTAAAACACTATAAATGCATATTTGTCATTTCAGATATGAGGACACCTCAGTTTGTTAGCTGTCCTGATGAACCTGCTGATTGTGAGGAGAATGGCCATTGTCTTTGTCTTTTCTATTAATGAAAGTTATTTTCTGTCAATGATGCAGGAGGTGTTTGTCTGGATTTACTTAAGATTTACAGAGGAAATGCAGCCTTTGACCTCTGATTAAAGCAGGATCTCCCTATTAAACTCTGCACGACAGAAAAGTATGTCACCCTTCAGTACTTTATTA